GATATGGGTGTCATGCCATAACATATTTTTAATACGACTGAGTTTATATTTAATGTGAATAAAAACATTGCAAGTTAGGCTACTAATCATAACATTTTCATTGTACAGAAAGAGAGCAAAGAACATTTACATTATCAAAGAACATTTTCACTGACAGTCTAGAGTTCAAGCACTCTCAAAAACTCCCATTAAAATAACTGAAGCTGTTTAAACTATGAAATTAATATCTTACAGATTTGTACACACATTTGCACTTTGTTGTTTCTGACGAGAGAATTCGCCAGAAAGAGGTATTCAGGCAGCGAGCGAGTGAAGAAAACACCAGCATTTTAGCGATGACTCATCTGAACACCTCTGATTGGTCATTGCATTCAGAAGCTCAACAGCATCGTGTGTGATTGGTTAATGCGCAATGCTGTAAAAACCAGCGAACGCAGATTTGAATTTAGCAGCTGATGATATGACGCGCTGAACGTTCTAATCACGCCGGTGTGATTGTATTAAATGTAGAAAATATTAATCGGCTATTTTTTGTCTTTTGGAAGCTGCATTCAAAATCCACTTGGCTCAAAAATCTGAGGGGGCACGTGCCCCCTCACTTTGAATGGGCATGACGCCTCTGATCAGACATAAACATCCCGTGATGTTGTAAAAGGATGTCTCAAGTATAGGCCTATATTATTCTCAACCGGCTTCTCCTTTTCTTCTGCTTTTATCTTTAACTTCTAAAGATTATTACACTTAGATTTTAGACTACTGTCTTAGAGTTTTAGTAGAATACACTCAGTTTGGATTTTGTATTAATTTTTTATCTTTTCCTTTAATTTTAATATTTCACTTTTCTCATTTGTAATTGTTATCACTGATTCATGATAGTTGTCTTTAATAAACTCAAAAAATAAATAAATTTTACTAAATCCAAACTCTTGAATGGTAGTGTTTCGTTTTACTCAATTAATTCCCAATAGATAAAATCGGTAACACTTTAGTATAGGGACCAATTCTCACTATTAACTAGTTGCTTGCCTATAATTAACATACTGGCTGTTTATTAGTGCTTATAAAGCACATATTCTGCATGACCATATTCTACATCTCTAATCCTACCCAATACCTGAACTTAACAACTTAGTTCCACACTACATTTTGTCTCATTAAATACAGTATCTTGTTTCACTTGACATCATGAAAATGACCCAGTTAAACCTCTAAACACAGATATCAACAGGTTTACAGCAACAAGGCTTCATTCCTTCAAATGGGCAGCCAAATATACCTCAAGCTGGTGAAGAATAAAGAAAGAGCTAGAATGAAGGATGTGTGTGTGTGCACAGATGTAGAGGTGACCCTCACCTCCTCTCAGCAGCTCGGTGTGCAGGTAGGCCAGTCCTCTCGTCACCGAATGTGCCAGACGACAGGAGCTCACCCAGTCCAGCGTGTGCAGACTCAGGTACCGACACAGAGAGCCCTGCAAACAGACACAGTACAGTTAAACTAGCACATACACACACAGAGCCTGTAACTGCTGAAACGCACCACTAAAAGGGTCATGAAAGAACATGGACATGGTAGTTATTGCAGTAGCAGCAACATCTCACTTGTAGACAATAAGAACTGTGCTTTTAACACTGCTCTACAATAACAATCTATCCACATCAATATTGCTGCTTTTTTCTCATCATTGCTTTTACATCAGCATTTCAAATCTCTGCAGAGCAGATATGAAACTTATGAAGCTCTTGAATAATGAATTGGAGCTTCAACAAAGTTGAATGTAAAGCCGCCTGCAACTAATTACTGCCTCTGGGGTATTTAGGCAACGCAAATAAAACTACCAGCAACAGCAAACAGTGCTGTACATAACAGAGAATTTTTTAAGTAATACTGTAGATTAGATTTAATTAGTTCAACAGGAAGCTTTTGTACATACAGTACATGCAGTGCTGTAGAGAGGCGGATGTAATTATGTATGTTGTAGAAATATCAATAACTGTCATACTGTGAGCCAATTCAAAAGGTGGGTCAAATAGTTGCTTATTAGTTAACTGTCACTGTGGCATGCTGCGTTTAACATTGAATTGTAATCTCACTAAGGTCACTGTCCTGATGGCAAGCTCTTGAAATACTGCGACATAGGACTGAAAAAAAAAAAAAAAACTATTGTGGCTGATGCGACAAATGTGAATGAAGTGATGATTACAGAATTTAATTTTGGTTCACTCTTGTCGCAATGAAATATTTTATTTGCAACATTGTTTTGCACTTGGTTGAGCATTGTAACCAATCATAGATGTGTTTGTTGATGAATCCAGTGGTCAATCAAATGAGTCTAGAATACAGGCATTGTTGCATTTTTTTATTTCTAAATGAAAGAACCTGGCATGCAGTTGTCCTACACAAAACACATATTTAAATGTAAATAAGATAATAAAACATAAATAACATAGTATTATGATATGGTTACAATATAAGTAAAATAGACAAATCATTTTAAAATTAACAAAATATAAGGTAATATAATATGGTTACAACTAAACTAAAATCAACAATAAATATATTTTTTAAATTGAATATTATAATTAGTAATAAATTAAACAACGTATTTTTTATAAAATATATATTTTTTGTAAAATTTTAAAAAGATGATTCACATATATGGTAATATTGTAACATGGTTACAGTATAACAGATAAATAAGATAGTTTTATGATATGGTTACAGTATAAGTAAAACAGACAACAAATCTTTTTTTATAAAATCAACAAAATAAAATAACGTAGCCTAATATAATATGGTTACAACTAAACTAAAATCAACAATAAATATTTTTTATAAAATATTATAATATAATTATAATATAAATTAAACAACATACAGTATTTTTATAAAAAAAAACTTTTTGTAAAATTAAAAAAAAAGATTCACATATAAGGTAATATTATAATATTGCTACAATATAACTAAAATCAACAACAAATATTTTTTATAAACAATTAACCTAATAATTGAGAAATGTATTAATCATGCAGCCTTGCAGTGCATGTTAATAATAGCGAATTGGCTCTGCACCGATAACAACGACAGATTTTTGACCTGTCATCTAGGATGGAGGGGTGCAAGAGAAAACTAACAGACTACAGGGCGCTCTGGGTAGACAAAGAACATTTTCACTGACAGTCTAGAGTTCAAGCACTCTCAAAAACTCCCATTAAAATAACTGAAGCTGTTTAAACTATGAAATTAATATCTTACAGATTTGTACACACATTTGCACTTTGTTGTTTCTGACGAGAGAATTCGCCAGAAAGAGGTATTCAGGCAGCGAGCGAGTGAAGAAAACACCAGCATTTTAGCGATGACTCATCTGAACACCTCTGATTGGTCATTGCATTCAGAAGCTCAACAGCATCGTGTGTGATTGGTTAATGCGCAATGCTGTAAAAACCAGCGAACGCAGATTTGAATTTAGCAGCTGATGATATGACGCGCTGAACGTTCTAATCACGCCGGTGTGATTGTATTAAATGTAGAAAATATTAATCGGCTATTTTTTGTCTTTTGGAAGCTGCATTCAAAATCCACTTGGCTCAAAAATCTGAGGGGGCACGTGCCCCCTCACTTTGAATGGGCATGACGCCTCTGATCAGACATAAACATCCCGTGATGTTGTAAAAGGATGTCTCAAGTATAGGCCTATATTATTCTCAACCGGCTTCTCCTTTTCTTCTGCTTTTATCTTTAACTTCTAAAGATTATTACACTTAGATTTTAGACTACTGTCTTAGAGTTTTAGTAGAATACACTCAGTTTGGATTTTGTATTAATTTTTTATCTTTTCCTTTAATTTTAATATTTCACTTTTCTCATTTGTAATTGTTATCACTGATTCATGATAGTTGTCTTTAATAAACTCAAAAAATAAATAAATTTTACTAAATCCAAACTCTTGAATGGTAGTGTTTCGTTTTACTCAATTAATTCCCAATAGATAAAATCGGTAACACTTTAGTATAGGGACCAATTCTCACTATTAACTAGTTGCTTGCCTATAATTAACATACTGGCTGTTTATTAGTGCTTATAAAGCACATATTCTGCATGACCATATTCTACATCTCTAATCCTACCCAATACCTGAACTTAACAACTTAGTTCCACACTACATTTTGTCTCATTAAATACAGTATCTTGTTTCACTTGACATCATGAAAATGACCCAGTTAAACCTCTAAACACAGATATCAACAGGTTTACAGCAACAAGGCTTCATTCCTTCAAATGGGCAGCCAAATATACCTCAAGCTGGTGAAGAATAAAGAAAGAGCTAGAATGAAGGATGTGTGTGTGTGCACAGATGTAGAGGTGACCCTCACCTCCTCTCAGCAGCTCGGTGTGCAGGTAGGCCAGTCCTCTCGTCACCGAATGTGCCAGACGACAGGAGCTCACCCAGTCCAGCGTGTGCAGACTCAGGTACCGACACAGAGAGCCCTGCAAACAGACACAGTACAGTTAAACTAGCACATACACACACAGAGCCTGTAACTGCTGAAACGCACCACTAAAAGGGTCATGAAAGAACATGGACATGGTAGTTATTGCAGTAGCAGCAACATCTCACTTGTAGACAATAAGAACTGTGCTTTTAACACTGCTCTACAATAACAATCTATCCACATCAATATTGCTGCTTTTTTCTCATCATTGCTTTTACATCAGCATTTCAAATCTCTGCAGAGCAGATATGAAACTTATGAAGCTCTTGAATAATGAATTGGAGCTTCAACAAAGTTGAATGTAAAGCCGCCTGCAACTAATTACTGCCTCTGGGGTATTTAGGCAACGCAAATAAAACTACCAGCAACAGCAAACAGTGCTGTACATAACAGAGAATTTTTTAAGTAATACTGTAGATTAGATTTAATTAGTTCAACAGGAAGCTTTTGTACATACAGTACATGCAGTGCTGTAGAGAGGCGGATGTAATTATGTATGTTGTAGAAATATCAATAACTGTCATACTGTGAGCCAATTCAAAAGGTGGGTCAAATAGTTGCTTATTAGTTAACTGTCACTGTGGCATGCTGCGTTTAACATTGAATTGTAATCTCACTAAGGTCACTGTCCTGATGGCAAGCTCTTGAAATACTGCGACATAGGACAAAAAAAAAAAAAAAAAACTATTGTGGCTGATGCGACAAATGTGAATGAAGTGATGATTACAGAATTTAATTTTGGTTCACTCTTGTCGCAATGAAATATTTTATTTGCAACATTGTTTTGCACTTGGTTGAGCATTGTAACCAATCATAGATGTGTTTGTTGATGAATCCAGTGGTCAATCAAATGAGTCTAGAATACAGGCATTGTTGCATTTTTTTATTTCTAAATGAAAGAACCTGGCATGCAGTTGTCCTACACAAAACACATATTTAAATGTAAATAAGATAATAAAACATAAATAACATAGTATTATGATATGGTTACAATATAAGTAAAATAGACAAATCATTTTAAAATTAACAAAATATAAGGTAATATAATATGGTTACAACTAAACTAAAATCAACAATAAATATATTTTTTAAATTGAATATTATAATTAGTAATAAATTAAACAACGTATTTTTTATAAAATATATATTTTTTGTAAAATTTTAAAAAGATGATTCACATATATGGTAATATTGTAACATGGTTACAGTATAACAGATAAATAAGATAGTTTTATGATATGGTTACAGTATAAGTAAAACAGACAACAAATCTTTTTTTATAAAATCAACAAAATAAAATAACGTAGCCTAATATAATATGGTTACAACTAAACTAAAATCAACAATAAATATTTTTTATAAAATATTATAATATAATTATAATATAAATTAAACAACATACAGTATTTTTATAAAAAAAAACTTTTTGTAAAATTAAAAAAAAAGATTCACATATAAGGTAATATTATAATATTGCTACAATATAACTAAAATCAACAACAAATATTTTTTATAAACAATTAACCTAATAATTGAGAAATGTATTAATCATGCAGCCTTGCAGTGCATGTTAATAATAGCGAATTGGCTCTGCACCGATAACAACGACAGATTTTTGACCTGTCATCTAGGATGGAGGGGTGCAAGAGAAAACTAACAGACTACAGGGCGCTCTGGGTAGAGCAATGATTATCTACCTGTAAGTGTACATCAGAGCCATAAAAGCCAATCGCTTTCCCTCAAGCCCTGTCTGAGTCTCCATGTTACCATAGCAACAGGGAAAATTATGTTATCCCCGGACACTGGTCCAGGCATTCCGTCTTTCTAACAACGTGTGACAGACAGAACACTGACTAATACAGACAGACGTTGCTCCAAAACCTAGTGTGCTGCTTTTGCTGTCTACTGCCCACATAGGCAGCTGTCTTCTAAGGCAGCATCCTAACTGACATGGAACCCTATAAGGGATGTTTCAGAGCTCTTTTTAGGCACATATGCCACACAAAACAACAAAAATGGCTCCTCACATGAAGTGCATGGTAGACTTGACTCATAATTGCTTTCACTGAAGTCTGACTTTAGCATGTTGCTAAGCAAATGACAGGATAACAATAGAGAGCACACACACATTTATGACAAAATTCAATTAACTTTTCTATTCATGCTTTTCAACCTTGAGTAACTTTAAATGACATTTCTGTCTTTCTATTGTATGAACCACAGATTCTGGGATGGTGTTTTGCATGAAATGCTGTCTAGGAATTTAAAATTTGAACACCACAAGTTGCAATATTCCTTTAAAGAGACCTATTATGCCCCTTTTTAGAATATGTAATATAAGTCTCAGGTGTCTCCAGAATGTGTCTGTGAAGTTTCAGCTCAAAACACCCCACAGATAATTTATTATATCATTTTGAAAATGCCTATTTTAAACCATATTAGTTTAAACTTCTGATATGCGGTTTTCTGAGCGCACACATCCGAAGCACGCGCACAGAAAGCGGCTGTCACAGCATGAGTACTAAACTAAGTTCTCTTTCATGTCTTATTGCACTTAAACTGTCAAATACACACAAGTTTATGCTAAAAACACACGAGTTACAAAAACATTCAGTTATGTCTGTGAAAGTAAACAGCTGGGAAAGATGCATGTTTATATTAGATCTGTGTGGCAGCAGCAAAATATACAGTAAATAAATCCACTGCTCTCTTGTCTGGGACTCTAAGGGTGCTTTCACACTAGCACTTTTGGTGCGCACCCGGGTTCGACTGACGTTAGAGTTCGGTACGTTTGGATGATGTAAATGCGGTCTTCCGAACTCCGGTGTGCACCCGCGAACCGTACCCGAGTCCGCTTAAAAAGGGTGGTCTGGGGTACGGTTCAAGTGAACTCCGGTACGGTTCGCTGCTGATGTGAACGCAATCGTACCAAATCACGGAAGTGAACCGCTATTAATAACGTATTATTGGATAAAAATGTGTGTTGGTGTGTTTCACTCACTTTCTTGACGAGTGTGACTGACGCGCTGAAAGCAGAGAGCTGTATATCTAATTTCTGTTCACCTTCAGAGTACTTTAGAGCATTTGCAGTACATTCGTAAGGCAGACGCAAGTGCTGTTATGTACTGAAGCTTTGGAAACAAAACCAACGGTTCAAAAACATAAATATAAAATTGAAGAGAGCCTCGCTACGCATTTTGCCGTCTTCTCCTGCGCCATCGTTACTAAGCAACAGGGTAAACAGCTGCTGGCTTGATGACGCAAACGAACCGCGGT